TCGTGGATTTTGCCGACGCGTTCGTCTTCCGACTTTTTCAAGGCAAAATTAAATCGAAATGTTTTTGCTGTTGCAGTTTACATTACATTAGGAAGAGGAAACGCGTCGGCAAAATGTAAGATTTTTTTCCAATTATCATTTTATACCAATCTGTCTTGTCCACAGAATTCATCTGGGAATTTAACTATATATATATATATATATATATATATATATATATATATATATATATATTATATAAGAGATTAGAACAAAAACATGTTGAAATAGCTTTCGTATTTCTGTACTATATTGTACTTCTTCAAGTGATGTTAAGTTTACTTAACATCACTTGATGAGACACAAAGTGCCGAAACACGAAAGCTATTGTCTAGCGATTTCAATATGTATAATAAAAATTATATATATATATATATATACATAAACTGTTAATTAACTGAAAGGCAATTACGATTAAATACAAGTTACCGTTGATTTTTTTTAAGACAGAGCTATATAGAGAGTAATATTACGTTTTGCAGAATTTATTAAAACGTGATATGCGTAGATAAATATTTGATGGTGATCAAGCAAAAGAAAACAATGACCAATTGAAAAGTTCCGGGAATAATGTCGTGAATATGACTTACTGACAGGATTCAAGAACACGGTGTTTTAGTTTGCCTGTCACGGTCACGTTTGCATTCAAAAGGTCATCAATGTCAGCGGCTAATGCCCGCACTACATTCGGTTCGCGCGCTTTGTTCGAAGTTTTGAAAAATATATGAGGAAATATGCAGCTTTCTTTCCTTAATTTTATACAATTGCCAATTTTGAATTGATGAAAAAAATCGTCTGAGTTTTTACAAAACAGCGAGTTATATAAGAAAAGTGAAGAAATTAAACAAAGATTTTCTACTGAAAAAGGGCCACCACATGGGAAAAAAAATATTTATTAAATGAAATATTAGGGATCATTATTAATTTTTTATGAGTATTTCTTCCATCTTAATTTCAGTTACTGGTCAGACCATCATTCTATGGCTCTTAGTAAACAAAGATTAATATTCTCTGGAATATTATTATTAGATTGTCAGCCATTATTAATTTTTGAAGTATATTTCTTCCATCTTAATTTTAGTCGCTTTTACTCGCAACTACTCGCAACTACTCGGACCGCTATTCTACGCTCGTTATTGAAGAATACTTGTATTTCTTTCATTTAAATTCTATTTACTAATCAAATTAATTGAAAATTCTGTTAATGACCATTCATAAACAAGTGGTATTATTATCTGAAATTTTTATTAGAAGAGACATGGTCAAATATTATTAATTCATTTTTGACTCGTTTTTTTTTTCATCTTAAGTTTACTTGCTTTACATAGCAGTAGCCCTCACTACTTAGATAAATCATTATGAACCACAATATTAAAGTGGGCTCGTGTTTCTTTTATTTTAATTTATATGCTTTTCATTGCATCTGCTGATATTATCATTGGACGACCTTTAGTAAATTGCATATTACGGAAACAAACATCAATAGCCGTGAACTGACAATCATAACAACTTCAGTGAACAGCAAGTGGGAAAAATTAAAGAATATCAATTAAATTTGCTTGTATATGACTTTGTAAACTTTATTTTATCCAGCAGGCTAATTGCAGGAAATGTTCTTCACGCGTTAATACTTCACGAAACGGTTCATACTATTATCTCGTTGTATAAGTCTTTCAGGCAAACAGCCTTCCATTTCTACAGCATCGTGCACTTCAATCAAAGAATATTTTTGTCTTCTTTCATATTTCTCCAGGTGAAGCCAGCATTTTCATCCGCCTTTGCTGAATATTCACATATCGATCGATTTCCGTTTTTTTTTTTCAAATATTAACCATCTGGATACTAATTAACCTTGAGCAAGTCTCTCAAGGTATTTTCATTCGTAAACCATACTAAAGGTAAGCTTCGTTACCCTTCCACTCCGACAACACCGCCTCAAGCAGACACCAGGCTAACTACGACATTTACAAAGAAGAGGTTTAATGACATCGTCAACATTGTAGTCAACGACCTCTTCTTTATTTAATTAAATTGCCTGGGCTGCTTGTTTTTGTTTCTGCCTCCAAGACGTTTTGGTGTTTTGTATGGTTTCTTTCCTCATTGTCAAACATCTGTATTTTTTGCCGTTATTAATATAGCGTCAGTATTGCTATAACTGTCCAGTTTTACGTAAAAGTATTCGACTTCTGTTTCTAATATTTTCTGATTAATGTTTTGAACATATATGGACTCATTTAAACAGAAAAAAAAATGAATAACGGAAAAACGACGTAGAAGTTGTCTACTTTTGCTTGGAATTGTATATTTGTTTTCGATATATACGTCTTGACCTTAAATCTAATCCTGAAACCCTACCAAAAAGTGCTGTTTCTTTCCTTTGTCCCTCCAGTCGCTCTAATCCTGCTATTTGCTTTACCGTCTTTTTTTTTTTTTAATTTCAGTTCTTTCTTATTATGTTCGAATATAGCTTGGAGTCGCCATTTTATGAGTGTCATCAACCACATTATTCTGATTATCATGTACTTCTCTTCCGTTGTTTTATCTGAATATGTTTATAAAAAAAAAGAACGAAGAACTGATCTAATTATTAACTATTCAAATTTTAATTATTTTTATTATTTAATTATATATTTAAATATCCGAACAAACAATCGTCCTAAATTTAATTATTGCTTTATTTTATTTTGCTTCAAAATTTTCGTGCTCGAAAAAATTACCTTACGTCAAAAGGGCGGATTTTCCCTTGACACCGCAGTTATTTTAACTACCTTCCCTCTAAGGCAATTTTTTATTGTTTTTAAAAGAGATGACTAAAATTATAATAAAACTTAACGTATAATGAATATGAATTTATACATTTTTTGTCGTTCAGAATTTATAGCCAAAATATTTATTTATTTATTTATTAGATTGTTTATTTGAAGGAATAATTCTATATTCATAACATTCTAAAAACTAATACAATTAAAACTAATGTAATGCATTATTTATCATTTACCAATTTACAGTGTAACCCAGATATAAGAGACCCGGTTATAAGAGAAACCCGGATATAAGAGAGATTTTTTCTGGTCCCAAATTAGAGCCAAAATAGACCAAACCCGGATATAAGAGAAACCCGGATATAAGAGACTTCTTCTCCGGTCCCGACAACTCTCTTATATCCGGGTTACACTGTATAAAGAAACAGATATAAAAAATATTGATAAATTTATAAGCATTTGCTAAGTTAGTAACAAATAAAGAAATCCTTTTTATTTACCATTTTATAAAGTTCGAATCGATTGGCAATTAGCAGATGTTTTACAACTATTCCTATAAAAATATATAATAAGTAGTGTAAAGAAATAATTTAATAGTGTTTATTATTTTTGTTGTCAGTTTTCATGAAGAAAGAAAATGTATTAATTTCCTTTCATATGTTTAGGTTTTATTAAAATTCCAATCATCGTTTTTAAAAGAATAAAAATTGCTGGGGAGTAAATGCAGTTAAAAATAATAGCGATGTCAAAAGAAAATCCGTTTTTGACATATCGTTTATTTTTTGTTTTTTACGAGGATGAAGATTAATGATTCCCCCAAAGTTAACCTCAAATAATTTTGCTTTAACCTGACTTATTTAATCAGACGTATCAATTTTTTTACAATCTCGTTTCGCTATATTCTTCATCACCAGCGCCACAAACACGATCTCCAACATTATCAGTCCCATGACCGTGTGTGATCGTAGGGTCGCTGCGCAGCTTTGGCACCTGACTTGCGTCTTCCACATGTCTCAGCAGGTATGCATTCATACGTAGCGCATCTTGGACAATTAGACCTGGTGGCGCGCATGCCTCACCATCCATCGGAGAAACCTTCCGCCCGGTGATGCTGGGTCATCACATACCTGGATAGACTAGTGGTATTTCATTATAAGACTCGTTTTTATTCTCAGTCAAATTTTAGCATTGGTCACTTTAAAATGAATGTTTCGATACTTTCCCAATAGGTATATAATACAGGGTGACCCAAAAAAACGGGAATTTTTGAAGTGCGTAATGCCAGACATGAGCAAGTGGCAACACTGCGAGACAGTGACCTTGAGCAAGTAAACATTTCGCCATTTAGAATTCAAGATGAAATTCACAGTATCCCAGTTGAGATGTTGCATCAGTCAATGAAGAATCTCAACAGCAGATTTCAAGAATGCATTCGTACAGGAGGTAATTTTTAAAAAAATGAAAATTCCATCATTGTTTCTTAAATGGCATGTTTTAAGGTTTCAATTACTATGAATAAAATATTTTTCTTCCATCACTCTTGGTTTTATTGGATTGTTAAAAAGCTCCCGTTTTTTTGGGTCACCCTATATATAAAAACCAGTCCTGTAAACTGGTTCCCGTACAACCACCGAAGTTAAGCAACTTAGATGGGTAACGGCTTTGGAATACCAGCTGCTACTGGTGTAATGAACGACGGCTCGGAATTGTCAATCGGAGAGCCGAGTTCGAATTCCAGTTGGGTTCGTTATATTCACTTACGGGCAAATAACCTTAGGAAAAGTATGAATCTTCGTCTTCTCCCCCAGCTATGGGTTAATTAGTAAAATGTATCACTAAACTATTATTATCTCAAAAATAAAATTCTTACACTCTAAACATTCTTCCTGGTTTTAAATAATCTGAAAAGGGTTGATAAGCCATAAAAAACGAATCAACCAAGTAGTCCTGTAAATAACTCGTAATATCTTATTTCATGTGTCGTTTCCCTTCAGAGCGTGAACAATGGTGTCTCTCCACAACTTCTTTTTTTAGTTCTTAATATCACCACAAATAAGATTTGTTAAAAAATATACTTTAAAATTTCATTCACTATACGGAATACATTTATAATGATAAAAAAAAACTACTGATAGCATAGAAATTCTAAGGATATTATTTTCTTATGGGTATTCCTAAGAAGTAATTTCAACAGGGTTCCAGCCATATCACGTTGAAACACGGGTTCTCGTCCGATCACCAAAGTTAAGCAATGATGAACCTGGTCATTACCTAGATGGGTGACCGTTCGGGAATACCAAGTATTGTAAGCTCCGATGTGTGTGAATGATGCAATGGATAACCGCTCTGAATTAAAAAGTCGGAGAGCCGAGTTTGAATTCCACTCGAGTTCATGACATTCACTTACATTCTAATACCCTTGGGGAAAGTATGAATCCACCACTTCCCCTCCCATCTATGGGTTAAATATTAAGCCTTGTGTCAGAGAATCATTATTATCTCCAAAAAAGACTTATAATCCAAAAATAGTATTTGGATGTAAATAACCATACTAAGATCGATATGCCGTAAAAAAATCAATAAGTTAATAATTTTAATATAGAATTGATTTTAATATAGATTTAACATAGAAATGTTGGAAATTAGTTTCCGATGGAAATTAATGTAAATTATTTTACTGTACAAATTGAATGGAAATAAATTGATGTTTATTAGAAATTATTTCCTCTAGAAATTTATGAAAATATTTTCCGATGGAAATTAATGGAAAAATTGTTTTAAAATTATTTACAATAGCAATTATGTTTATACGAGAATTACACGGAAATTATTGAAGAATAACTATAAAATAGAAATGCTATCAGAATACACAGTAATTTATTTTAGTATAGGAATTCTCTTTTATAAAACACCAGGAAATAATTTCCCAATCTCCTTCCATTAGAAAACGTTTTATTGTACGAATTCATTCAAAATTCACTTAAGAAAAATATTAGCATTTGGATATTCGGAAATTAATTTCATCTGGCAATTTATTGGAAATTAATTTCTTTTAAATATCCATTGTAAATTATTTTCAAATAGAAATAACTAGTTGTTGGTAATTTCCTTGAAGACTACTTTGGAAATTATTTTCCTATAGAATTTCTTTTTCTTATATTAGTCCAGCAAGCGTGAATATTTCTCGTAAAGAGAACTACTTAACTATTTTTCTTATCGGAATACTTTTTAAATATTTTATTGAAGTAATACACTGTTTCAACGGGACACTTTAAGAAATTTTTTCATATAAAATTCTCTAGGGAACTATTTTAATAGAGGTAACACTTGTAATGTTTTTTTTTTTTTTGTTTTTTTAGGAATCCATTAGAAAATATTTTATTATAATAATATAATTGTTTTATATAGGAATAATTTGGAAATTAATTCAAGAATAACAATCTATTGAAACCCTGAGAAAACTATTTTAGTATGGGAATCCATTGGGAATTACAGTACTATTGGAATCACACGGAAATTATTTTATTATAGGAAACCACTAGAAATTATTTTCCTATGGGAATCTATTGGAATTAATTTACTCTTTGAATACCTTGGGAATTATTTACACTATTTACATCGTTCGGACTGTTGTCATCTTTATGACCATATTCACGACGTTTCGGCCATTGTACACTCTGGCCTTCTTCAGGTGATACACGTTGGAATTTCGAATAAACACTTTATTTATTCCGCGTGGGTAGATTATTATTCCTTTGGTCAGGAATTTGGCATTAACTGTCAATATAAGACGATTACGTACATAATATTAGAACATTGCTTGAAATAAGAATTGATTTCCTATGATTTTAATAGAGGAATTGGAAAGAGTGCAAAACATTTCGGTTGATATACATATATATATATATATATATATATATATATATATATATATATATATATACAGGCTAAGTAATGATTTTACTATAGAAATGTGATGAATAGTAAGGGGAAGAAAGGGTTTTCCATAAGAGAAATTAATTCAGGTGTAAGTGCTATCGTATGAATGATATTAGAAGCGGTTGACAAACATTGCAAATAGATGCCACAGGGTGGATTAATATTTAGGGAACATGTTCATTACTACAGAGTATGATCCTCACTAGATGCTCTCTACTTCTGGCCATATGACAAGCTAAGCTTAGAAAATAACAATGTCCTAATATAAATTTTAAAATCACTTTCTTTAGAATTACCATTCTGATGAAATAAATCCTTCCAATATTAAACCTTATTACAGGTTGATCACACACACACACACACACACACACACACACACACACACACACACACACACACACACACACACATAGAAAGCGCGAATTTGGAATTCTCTCTCTCACTGGCGTGTTTATTTAGAGAAGAAATGCGCAAGAATTCGCCTTCCTCTCTACCTGGTGCTGATAACTCAAGGGTAACATCTCCAACTGATGCCAAATCAGTCGGGTTTCGATACCGGCTTGAGGCAATCAGATGTCTAGCCACACTGATGTGCTGTGATACAGCAAAACAGTCTGTCTGTGGATGACATATATATATATATATAGAGAGAGAGAGAGAGAGAGAGACAGACAGACAGACAGACAGAGACAGTTGCTCCTCGGCATAAGTAAAAGTAGCGCTTCAAGTACTGCTTAAAAGAGTCTATTGCAGCCTTATATGGGGTGCGATGGATAAATTGTCGTTTATATTGCGCCAAAGGGAAGATAGCACTGAAATTTAATTTTAACGGCAATATTAGCCAAAATTGCACAAAAATATCTTAATATAATATTATCTTAAATAATAAATAGTAAATCTATTCAATAAGACCGCCATTGGCTTCAACCACGACCTCCAGACGACTTCAATATCTCCAACAATACTTCTGGATTGTCTTCTTGTTTAATTTGGTGAATGCTGCCATAATCCTTCGCCCTCAGTTCATCTTTGGTGTTACAAGGAGTTTTGTTGGTCTCTCACTCAACTGCGACCCGCACAATAATCAAGGGGGTGCAGACTGGGGAATTATGCGACCAAATGTAAAGTGTGTTATCGTCGTAGAAATTGTCTGATAACTATGACTGGTTTCTCCTGCTTGTTTGGCATGTTGCAGACTCCTGTTGCCAGACATAGAGTCTTCCAGCAGCTACCCTCATGCCCCAGGGCAGCACTACCTCCTTTAGGTACCTGATGTATGCATCCGTGTTGAATCTGAGGCCGTGTACGAAGATGAGTGGAAGCATAACGCGCCATCACTACATGTTTGTATGTATCATCCACCTCTTTCGAATCTTCTGCACTGTCCTCAGATTGAGATCCAGACACTCTGAAATGTTCGTATTGGAGCTTCCGATGCGAATACCAAACAGTACGGAATGCCGTTTCCAAATTTCTGTCAGATTGAATTGGGCCATGACGCTCTTTTTCTCACAGAGGCGCCCAACTAACCCTACTATACTTTGCAGTCGACAAATTCAAAAAGAAACAACGCGCATGCGCGAAATTAAAAATATAAAATGGCAACAATTAACCCATCGCACTTTGAATGTAGATTATTCTGAGAAGGGAAACTGCTCCTTGTGAACGATAAAAGTAGGATCGTACAATTTATGGAGGCACTAAGATCTTCCAAGAACATCCAAGTAGTTGGACAAATGTCAGGCGTTCAGTTAGAGAAGGGTAGGGTATGTCTCACCAAGTGCAGGCCTCGTTAGCCAAATGGAGAGTCATATTGATAGATCTTTCACAAATTATGACCAGTACTACGCTGGAAATGACTTAACATGGAGGGTTGTGTCAGGAAAACTGCAGTCTCACCCATCAGATGAAAACCCACGAGCAAGCTTAACAGACTTTTCAAAAAAGGCCAGGCACTGGACAAAATTTAGTCTGTCGCGTCTTAAATAACCATACCAAGTCATTTGCAGATATGAAGAGCCATTGCGCCCTTACGAGAAATAAATTGATCAAATTTGTCAGAAGTGGTCATACTGGTCGTTTAAGGAGTCAACAACCATCATATAATCAACATCAACAAATACAATTAATTTTATCTTGTTGCCGTGATTGTTTTTAAATATATAGCTTGTCCTGATTATATATAACAGTTTGGGAAGTTTCTAATAGATAGATAGATAGATAGATAGATAGATAGATAGATAGATAGATAGATAGATAGATCATCAGCAGACTAAAATAGATATATAGACAGTTCATCAACAGACTAAGATATATATATATATATATATATATATATATATATATATATATATATATAGATAGATAGATAGATAGATAGATATAGATAGATCATCAGCAGACTAAAATAGATATATAGACAGTTCATCAACAGACTAAGATATATATATATATATAGATAGATAGATATATAGATAGATAGATAGATAGATAGATAGATAGATAGATAGATACATATTCAACAGATTGAGATAAATAGATCATCAACAAATTAAACAGATAGATAGATAGATAGATAGATAGATAGATAGATAGATAGATAGATAGATATTCAACAGATTGAGATAGATCATCAACAAACTAAAATATATATATATATATATATAGATAGATAGATAGATAGATAGATAGATAGATAGATTGAGATAGATCATCAACTAAAATAGATAGATATTCAGCAGATTGAGATAAATAGATCAACAAACTTAGATAGATAGATAGATAGATAGATAGATAGATAGATAGATAGATAGATAGATAGATAGATAGATAGATAGATTTTAGAATTCGGATTTGGTTTAGTCTTCCTTTCGGTTCATGTTAATCAAATATACGTCTAAACGTGGATAAATACACAAAAATGACGAGATCTCATGTTGCGAGACAAGTTAATTTTTTCTTTTGTTTATTTGTTTTCAAATATGTTAATTATAAATTACCCCGAAGAACTATCTTCACCTGTGAACCAAAGTGACTTGCTTTCATTTTCACCCATTTTCCTGTCAACGTTCAACCGTTTGTAGTTCTTTGTGTCAGCTTTGTTTTTTTTCACCCTTCAACAATAATCTCGTGCGTTCGAAGTCGGTTGATGTTCTGAAAAGTTATTCATTCTTGCTTCCTGATTATTTCCCTCTTTGTTTTTTTGTTTTTTTTAATATTGTTCGATATTTTTCCTGCCACATTGTTTAAAATTTCCTTGTTTTTATTTATTTTTTTTTTTAATGTGTTCACCAACCATTCCAAAAATGACAAAAAAAGTACTGTATCATTTAATGTTGATATTCTTCCAATTATTCTATTTGCAGACGCTA